GTTGCCAGCTGAGGTTAAACCACAACAGGGTGTTTATCTGATTTCTCCCTTGCCATTATCTGTTTCTCTTCGAGTTTGATAATGTTCCACTTGTTTTAAGATAAGTATTTTATCATTTCATTGCAGAATGCAAAATATAGGTACAACTTCCCTCATTTTTTTTTATAGGACACGAGTAATAATTTAGACTAAGACTCAATAGAGAATATTTGTAGTATGAGCCTATGTAGTATGTATTGAAAGGTGAAATACAACAGACTAAAAAGAGAATAATTCCTTGCTGGAAAACTTGTAGGGACTAAACGCAACAGCAGAATTGAGCTTTGAACCATAAGTACCATAAGCAAAGTTACCATATTCAAAACTCCATCTAATCAAGGCCAGAAAATACTAGTGAGCATTGCTTGCTCCACAGTGAAGATTAAAACTAACATCCCATTATGAATCGAGACAAATAATACACTAAAAGCAAGAAACCAAGAACTGTGAAATGCACAGGCTTCATCTTGACTATGGGTAGAAGATATTGGAAGAAAAAAAGAAACCTTGAAAGAAGGTTAAAAGAAACCTTGGAAAAGAAATCAGAAAGGAAGTTCAAAACTGAGACTATTCAAGAATGTTTCTGCTATTCTTTTTCCATTAACCTAGAAAATAGAGATGAAATAGCTGGTATAGAATGGAAAACAAATCTTAAATGGAACTATTATTTTACCAAAGAATCCTTACAAAATCTTTACAATCCTTACAAAAACTCCTGTTTGTCCTTATCAAACCAACAATTCCAGAGTTTCTTTTACTATACCTCATTTTAATGCCTTAGATAAAGATGCTAAATGAGTACATAAACAGTTAGGTACAATGTTTCTAGGAGATCAAATCCAATATTTGGATATATCAAAGACATATAGTATTATGTAATCAGTTGCGTGAAATGAGATGGAAAATTAAGTTGTTTATGTACCTTAAACACTACCTTCTAAATCTCAGGTTTGCCTTATAGATTACCAGATTACTTTAAATATGATTATTTAAGAAAGGCCAATAACATCCTTATTGTCAAACTTCTATACCTTAGGTTCTCTCAAATAGCTTGCTTTCTTCATCTAACAGACAGATTAGCCACAAAGCTAATTTTCACTATTTACAACCTAGACTCTTTATCTGGGTTTTCATTATCTCAGCAGACTTGCCTCTCACCATGAGCTGCTTCGTAGGAACAGGTTTTCTGCTGGACAAATTAACGGTGATACTGCCACTAGTTTCCTCCCATCTTGTGCATTGGTTATACATATTGATAAAATAACAATTATAAACTATATATTGTTTCTTTTTCACCTAGGGAGCTTGTAGTATACATAAGTAGCATGGAAGTTTCATGAAATTATTTTACTGATTATAATACGGTTCTTTTTGGTTTGTGATCATATTTTATAGTAATATATCAGTTTCTATTAGTTTGCCTATTTACTGAAAATTCAGAAGCTTGGTTCTCACAACTTACAAACCACTAATACAGAAGTTCGTAATAATTATTGTGAGATTTCTTCTTAAAATCCATAGTTGCAGCATTATTGTCAGATGTGGACAAGTTTTGCCAAGAATCTGAGTTTTAATCAGCATTTTTTGTGGGTGGATGTGAAAACCAAAAGAATTTTGTGGGCATAAACAGAAAAATCACATTTTTCTCTGAACAGCTGTATAATAGCCACTTTTAAAAGCTAAATAGTAAACATAGAAGGAAAGGGTTTCACACCACAGAATGTAAGGCAAAATATTTCTGGCTTCCATATTGTGGGAGTTATTATAGAGCACAAAATGTTAAGTAAAAATTGGCTGTATGCTTGGACAGCTGACACTTCAAGAAATGAGTTAGAAATCAGAGTCCTTTTCAGAGCCATGCTAGTTGCCAACCACTTATGGCTTTGGAACTAACTGAGAAGTAAGGAGTACACACAAATGCTTTATGATCTATATTTTGTAGAGGTTTTTTTCATAATAAAGCTTTTGTTATATGTAAAAATCAGATTTGTTTTTAAACCCAGAAATCATATTCACATTAAAGTTAATACATCATTCCTATGTATATGTAATGTATAACTGTAAGACAGACTTGGTAGATAAAGGTAATATCTTTTATTAACCAGTTGTTATCACTGAAAAACATTGACAAGCTTTTGAACACATAGGCTTTCTTTATATCTGAAACAGAAAAAGCATATTTCAAGGGCAAAGAACAGCTGAGAAAAATTGCTCAGAATATCAGAAATATCACATCTTTGAGAGGAAAGGTAACTGGTAGATACAGTTAGGGGGAAGTTCTTACAGTTAGTGAAGAGTGGGAGGAAAGAAATGAGAGAGTCTACTATATGTGTTTTGAGCAAAATAGTTGCAAATCCTGATTCAGTAATCTAACATAGATGTGTATCCATCAAGGATATTTTTCCATGGAAATAGTTTGTAATTTTGAAAGAGTTGTCAAAAACCCATGTAAGGAATGGATTCTAAAAAAAAAAACCCAAAAAACCTAAAAAAACAAGACCTAATCTGATAAAGGTGTTTTTCCTTGTGAAACACACCCCCCAGTTTAAAGAAAAAGCTCACACATTACTAATTGTATGTCTCTTTTTCACATCCAAAGCTTTCCCCAGACACAAGTAGCTGTTGTAGGTTTTGTTTTCAATTTTCTGAAACTAGAACATTCAATAACAAAAAATGCAGTCTAATAATCTTATAAACTACAAATTAAAAGTTAAAAAGAAAAATATTGAAGGACATCTTATTGTCCTATTGACAGAGAGCAGGAAAAAATTGTTTCTTCTTGGTCCTGCTCTTTTGTCAATGATTTTTTGACCACCTGGCCATTTCTTACCTGATACAGATTTATTGCTGTAATGAACAATTTGGCCTCTGACTTAGGCTTGTCACCAGAAGTCTGTAGTTGCTATATTGCTGTCTTGTGTCCTCAGTGACTTTGGGGGCAGACTTCTTTTGCCATCTCACAAGTATATCTGCAGCATGCTGAATGTCCTCAAGAAATACAAACCCCACCAATTTAGGAATTTAAATGTCTTCTGATTCTTGTTTTGTAAAGATCTTCATACATGGTTGCTTGGTATAGTTGTTTTTGAACTTTCTCACAAGTTGACCCTGGGTTATTGACCCTAAAGGCATCTGATAAAGGCATTTTTCCTTGTGAAACAAAAAGCCAATGAGCAAAAATTACAGAGAAGCCAACATATATGGTGTTGTGAAAATAGGAAATGTGGGTTTCATTTGTTCCTTCTTCTGCATGGTTCATTGCAGGGAATTGATTTCATTCACATAGGTGAATAGGTCTTACACAATTTAGTCTCCTATAAGAGATTAACAATCTGTGCATGTGAGACTATGAAAGTATGTAATTGGCACTACATCTGCCAATAGTGAGATGCTCACAGCAAATGTAAAGGACTTACTTTCAAGTATCTGTTCCAATTAATTTTCATTTATCATGGATGGATCAGCTTCAACATGAAAGACCAAAGCAGTCGAGTCAGCAGCTAAGATGTGCAAGACCAGGATTCAGATCTGCTCAGAGTCAAGCAGGGAGGAAAATGAATCACGGTTGCAAACAGAGAATCTATGTCTGCTACTTGCCGACTATGGGATTTACCCGAGACATGTAAAACCCAAGTTCAATTCTTGGCTGCTTTATTTCAGACTTTTCTTCCACAGTGCAAGTGAGAATGTGATTACTGGCCCCAAATCAAAGGCTGGGTATTTGTTTGTTTATCCTGAGAATTTTTTTTTAGGATATTTGGAGCTTCATCTTGGTCTATATGACAAAGCTTGTTAGGTGTGAAGGAGGAAGCATCTACCCAGTTCCAAAATATAATCTCACTGGAAAAACAGGGTAGCAGCTAAGCAGTGTTTTAAAAATGGAAGTGGATGCCTGAAGAGATGGATTGATCTCCAAGTGATTTTGAGGATCATATTCTGTTCAGAGAAAGTGCTTTGCTGTTGAGTCACTTCTTAGCTGTATTCAGAGCTTTGACAGGCTGAAAGCAAACAACTTCTGGTTCTCTCTGGCTATCCTGAGTGTATGTAACATCAGAGTGCTGATGTAGAAGGGTGGAAGAAGGAAAAGGGAAAAAAACTAGGATTGAGTGCAAAACCCCTCACAAAGTCTATAATTTGAGAAGGTTAGCAGGCTTTGTATTTTAGGATTGGAGGGAGATTCCTATTAGAAATAGGTACCTAATTTCTCTACCTTTTTTCATAGTAGAGACCCATGGAATTTCTTTAGAATTCTGCTCCTGAAATTAATAGGAAATAGAATTAGGTCAATATTCTAGAAAGTTGGGAATTCTGTACAACTATTGATATTTGTGCCGTGCTGGTTATTTGTTGGTTACAGGATTCTTCCTCTTATTTGTTCTTTTGAGTGTCCAAGTGAAGATGTAAAGATCAGATTTTTCTGAAATAAACAGAATGTTATTCTTAAAATGGCTGGTTTGATTCCTATGGGTAACTTACAAAGTAAGGTGTATGAGCAAGAATACCAGAACCTGGTACTGACTTATCAAAAAGTGAAAAGATATGGGAGTATATTAATTTCCATTCTTTTCTTTAGGTCTAATATTTCTGGATTTCAATATCTGCCCATAAACCATATTTGAGACTTCATTATATTCTGCAGTGATATAAAATGAATTATTATTTACTAAACATACCTCTGTAGATGGCATGAATTATCTGTCGGCCTGATCACATTGTATTAGTATTAAAAAATTACATTTATTTGTTTATTTATTTTGTATTTTCAGGTAGAGATTGAAAAACTGGACTATCATTACTATCTGCCTTTGTTTTTTGATGGGCTTTGTGAAATGACATTTCCATATGAGTTTTTTGCTCGTCAAGGAATCCATGACATGCTGGAACATGGTGGAAACAAGATTCTTCCTGTCATTCCTCAGCTCATTATCCCAATAAAAAGTAGGTGAACATGTGGGGGAAAAAAAAATCCCTGAAATTGCATTTATATAGTGTAATTTTTTGGCAAGTTGCTAATTAAGCAATAAAATATGAAAAGTTGTACATTTCATGGAGATTATTGCAAACATGAGTAAATTGTAAGGTATAAGGCCAGAAGGCTTATGCCTTCAATCACCGGGTACATGCAGTAATCCAGAAGAATAGACAGTCTGGTTAGCGTTTTTCTTATTACAATGTGGCTCTTGGTCTTTGGAAATGTGAACTGACATTTTCTTACCTGATTTTGTATATTTATTATGTAAATCCATTACTGTATAAACCAGTTCATTTAAAATGACAGGAGAAATCAACAGGTGAAGCTTATGGAATTATGTTTCTTTTTGTCCTTTTGTTTATTCTACAGTTGTCTTATATTTATTCACTAAATATCTTTTCTATCATCATTCTCATTACTTTGCATATACATATATCTATCTAAATTGGGAGTTCTGCCTGACCAATTATTGTTGTATGTAAAATTTTGGCATTTAAAAAAATATCAATTCTGAAGTTTTTATATATTCAAACATAGTTTTTTCTAGAAAAATTATGTGAAAGTTAATAAATTATTTTAATACAAGTGTAATGCCACTAAAACTCCAAGTGTAATACCACTAAAACTAAAACTTCTTTTCTTGAAATACCTAGTCTTTCAGATATATTGTTTTGTCCTTTCCTGTTTCTTTAGATCAGTACCTTGAGGAGATATTATTCTGACCCATCATCCTTCTTTAGTTAGGTATTATGATTCTTAAATCTGCATGCTACACCTATACTAATAGATGCTCATATTTGTTAAACTTGGCTTCTGTTTTATTGTTGATCAGCAATGGTATCATTGTTGTCCTTTGCCCTGTTTTCCTGAGATGATTCAGCACCCATGCTAATACAGAACAAAACAGAGTCATTGTATTTGTGATACAGAATGAGTAAAGACAAATACAGTTTTGGAAAAGGGGAAAGGGAATGTAGTTTGGAGCCTGATAATACTGGAATAATAGTATTGGAAGGGTCAGAATTGTGGTTTTTCATTCAATTTATTCTCCATTAAAAAGGATTAATTATAGATGTCTATCTCTATCTTACCGTAGATTTTGAAAATGTCAAAAGGAATATATAATATTCAGAATGGTTACTCTGTAAGTGACACTTGTGAAAGGTTATGAAAACAATGTTACAGTTTTTTCTCTCTAAAAGGGAAACACATAACGAGAGGAATCATGTCATTTCTTTAAATCTGTATTTCCAACACCACCCAAATATATTTATAGTAGTATCATTTTTTTTGAAAGCTGAAATCGTTTCTTCAGAAAAGGCTGCAAGTTTATGACAGCAGCTACTCAGTTAGGATTTAAAAGTCTTCCTGAGACCAGAATCTAACTTAGAAATAATTACCTGGAAGCTTTAGCTGTTACACAGCTTTTAGCATTAGAAAGAGACTGCTAGGTAAGGATATTTATATGGGTTTTAAATCAAGTCATAATTTACGATGCTGGAACACATTCAAGAATCTGCTAGCTAAATTTAGTTGTTGGTTCTGCTTTATTTTATTGTACAGTGCTTATTTTTTTATTTTTAAAAAGCTTCTGTATCAGCTTTAATGCGTGATGAGTCTAAGTATTATCAATGATAAAGGCTTCTTCCTAATTAAAGCCATATTAATATTAAAAAAAGACACCGCCATCACAAGGAATCTGAACGTATGTACTTCTAAGAATTTTTAAATTTGCTGTGACTGTGTAATATAGCAGTGTAGTTAGAGCTATACATTTCTGTGACTCAGCTGCATCCACAATAAACTCAGCTATGTTTTACACATATTACTGTCTCTAAAGTGTCCCACTGGGTGAGTTATATCTGATTAGCCAGTCTTCTTCTAGACCAATACCATATTTCTACTGTGAAAGAGTGAATCAATTGATTGTTAGGCAAGGTAATATATATGATGGAGGGAAAAGGGGTGAAAGAAAGACAGAAAAATAACTCTATGGATAGAATGCTTTTAAAAGCAGTTTTCTCTCCTGGATGTTCATCAAAGGAAAATATTAGTAAAGAGCTGCTCTCTTAAAACATTTTAAATTAAATATTAGAATTCTGTATTATATTTTAATGATTTAAGGAGAAATCTATCCTTCGTCCGTCCTTGCTTAAAGTTCACACTTTTTGAACACTATATCATTAAAGATGAAGATTATATTATTTAATGAATCTGCGGGTTACTGTAAGCCCAAATCCTTTCAGCAAATTTTCTTCTGGTTATGCAAACAGGCAATGACTAACAAAAGGCAGATAATTGAAATTAACAGGTCCAGTTCCTTTCCTAAAATACCTGAAATAATATGATTAAAATAACATGGAAGAATGCTATTTAGTTGAAAAATAAGTGCTTATTTTTGTTTGTCAAATTGAAAGGCACTCATTTTTGGAAATTCAGAGGAAGAAAAAAATCTCAGGTTGGAGGCATTGATTTCTCAAAGAGAAAAATGTTCAAAATGTATTTTGATTTCTCAAAATAAAAATTCAAAATATATTGTACCTTGCAGTGACAAAATATGATAAAATAGTTTATAAGTATAGTCACAGAATCATAGAATAGTTTGGGTTGGAAGGGACCTCTAAAGGTCATCTAGTCCAACCCCCCTGCCGTGGGCAGGGACATCTTCAACTAAATCAGGTTGCTAATGTCAAATCAGGTTGTTTATGTCATTGCATGGCATAAAACCCAGGAAAAACAAATTACCTGTATATGTCAAACTTGTAAGGAATCCAACTAAAAATAAAAAAATGCAAAATCAGAAAACGTGAATACATTAAGGTGTTAAGACTTTTTACTCCATTTCACAGAAGGTGTAGGCAAACCCATTGTCTACGTTATTTAAACTAGAGCAAAGATTCATAAATTGAGATATATGGCCAATAGCAAAGTACATTGTAGAGGTATTATGAAAGTTCTGATGCACAACACACAGCAGAATAGCTTCTTTGCCAGAAAGATCCTTATTGTTATTTTCATATTGCAGACAGGTAAAGAGGTAGAAGGAGGCTAATTTTGCCCCACATCAAACTGCATCGGTGGCAGAGAGCAGAACAGAACCCAGACACACACCCCTGGGGGTGGCAAGCAAAGCTGCCTGTAGGTCACCTGAGAATTCCCTTATTTTTAGGAACGGAGGGATCTGTCTGGCCCCACTATGTCTTTCAATAATGCACTGATGTATCTTAAAACTCACTTGTGGCCTACCATTACCTATAGCCAGCCAAGAACAGCCAGGAAAGGGATGTGAGGGTGAGAGATGCCTATTGTACCATGTGCTTGTCAATGGAAAACTGTTCTAAATTCTGTGTGGTCATTAAGGGAATGTAAAATTCCTTTTGATACTCATTTTTTGGGCGAATTACTGCTTTTAATATTACATTTTTTATATATTATATAAATATATAATATTTATATAATATATAATATTATAA